CAGTGTAATTCTTCTCATGAATCTTCAGCTGACTTGAAGCATATTCGATAACTCGTCCCTCCTGCATCAGTACACAACCCAAGCCAACGCGTGAAGCGTCGCAATACAAAATATACATCCCCGAACCGGAAGGCAATACTAGACCGGTGTTGTAGCTGTCTTGAGCTTCTGAAAGCTCGCCTCACAATCATTAGACCAACGAAACGGAGCACCCTTGTGGGTTAATGTAGTCAAAGGTGCTGTAATGGATGAAAAACCCTGCACGAATCGGCGATAATAACCTGCTAACCCAGGAAACTCCTGATCTCAGTCACCAAAGTGGGACGTGGCCAACTCTAAACTGCCTCAATCTTCTTGGGATCCACCTTAATACCCTCTCCTGACACAACATGTCCCAAGAATGCCACAGACTCTAGCCATAACTCACACTTGGAGAACTTAGAATATAGGTTCTATTCTCGCAATGACTGAAGCACCACTCTCAAATGTCGCTCGTGCTCCCCCAGGCTACATGAGTAAATCAAGATGTCATCAATGAAGATGATAACAAATGGATCAATATAAGGCATGAACACCTGGTTCATTAAATCCATAAACGTCGCTGGGGCATTAGTTAAGCCGAAGGACATCACTAGGAGCTCGTAATGGCCATATCTAGTAGGAAAAGCAGTCTTCAGAACACCTGATGCCGAATCTTCAACAAATGGTACCCCGATCTCAAGTCGATCTTAGATGAGTCATCTTCTGTGATAAAAAGACTCATCTGGTAATGACTCCATTTCAAGGCCATCGAGAATCTTCTGTGATAACTCATCTCCAACTTTCTTTTCTAAGAATAATAAAATCGGCAGCCGAAGCAAACATATCGACATAAAGTATTTGATGGTTAGAGACTATGTCAAAAAGCAAGATGTGTATTTTGAGCATGTCAGTAGTACTTTGATGATTGCTGATCCTATGACTAAATGATGTGATTCTTCGAGTTAACAAAGAACCAACCGACCAGGATCAAGATCTTGAAACGAAAATATAATTTATGGGTTGATTTCAAGAAACAACATATCTCAAGTTTTAAGACTTCGAATATGATGATTCAAAAACGAGGTGAAAGATGACGATCTAAACTATAAGAAAGACTATTTATTTGTTCAAAACAAGTAAATATTGAGTTTGTACTGGTTCAATGAAAGTTCTGATTCTAGGATATTAAACGAACAAATTTAGATCAAGAAACGTATTCTTGAAGGATCAAGAACTAAAAAGTTCCTAATGTCACCACTTGGAATCAATTAACGTGATAAAGAAATACCACACGTAATTGAAAATAAGATAAAGACTATCACACATAATTGAATTCCTACTCTATAAGGCATGAGAACCTTTTATATAGGCCTAGGGTCTCTTCTTTGATGACTACAATTCGTATTCTAATAAGGAAATAAATATCTAAAGACAAGGAAAGTAAAATCCCTATTCTACAAGGAAAAGAAACTAGAATCCTACTACAAGGAAAATCCTTATTCTGAAAGGAATAAAATAAATCCTATTTTAAGAAGGAAAGAATCTTGGCTTCTTGAAATCAATCTTGAGCTTCTTGGACTTCTTGCACTTCTTGAAAATAAGTCCATATGTTTGGACTTGAGCTCTAAAATATTGTCTTGGCCAAAATTAATAAAATTTAATATAGATCCTTTTTTTTACATCACTAAAGGTCTACCGGCTAATATTTTCAAGGATCATGTAACCCATATGGGACTTAGTAGCTCAATTTAGTCTTGCTTTTGCTCTCTAACAGTTTGTCTAGACATTATGTTTATTTTGATATACATGACAATGCACACTTGATTTTTTATGTATTATTTTGTGACCATTGGATCAATAAAGTTTGACTCTGAATGACTTATATTAAGTTCATTAATAAAGTTGCTGACACTTTGTTAGAACATATTGTGCATTATAATACATGAAAGAAATTGTTTGTTTAAGAGCATGGCCACCATAATTCACGTAATGATATGTTCTAGTTAAAGTGGTTGTTGCATAACTTTTAGTTGAGTGATAAAGTCTATGCCATATTATTATGTTTATCTCTCGTAAAGGATTATCTGATTTTAATATGTGGGCCAAGTGGGAGAATGCTAGAAATTTACCGTCTCTTCTAGAGACTTCTAATGTGGTCCACATATTTGGTAATGAATTATTTACCTTATCTCCCAAGTAAATAATATTTCAGATAATATTTCGTACTTATTCATATATGGTAGTTTCTTTGATGGAAAGAAATATTTTTTATTAGGAGTCCCTAGGTCAATTATAATTTATAAAAAAGTCCCTAGAGCTAAAGTATTTGCCTAAGAGTCCCTATCCTACATATAAATACGCTTATGACTCCATCAATCTGGCACCCTAATGATAGGCACATGCTAGAAGGCTCCTAGGTTTTCTATCAAAGTTTTACTAAGCGATTCAACAACACTTGAACAACTATGGCTGAAGGTACGTTCCTTGATTTTTTGTTGCGATAACTCTATGTAAGTGCGAACTCTTCAAATCACTAATTTTTTAGGATCCGACACGCACCTACAATATTTTGTTTTTTGACAGTCCAAGCAACATAAGAGTCAGTTAGGCATACTGACACTTATAAGCAGAGGCGGATCCAGGAATTGAAGGTTCCGGGTGCCATACTTTTTTGAATGTAGACGTCTTATGATTTACAAGGTTCAAAGATAAACATTTGTTCAGTTTGATCATCTTTGGATCGATCTAAATGTAAAAATAGACCAAACGAAAAAATATAAAAATAATGACAACTTGGCGCAATTACAAAACTTCCAACAATATTACTATTAACATTAATTTTTTCTTTCTATTGAGTACACTATAATGCATTCATTAATGATTGATCTATATTTAGGCCTTTTTAAATTTTCAATTATAGCTAGCCATAAGAGATCAGTCACTCCTCTTTGAGTTCAAGAAGTGAAGAGCTAGGAGAAATCATGCCCTTTGTAAATTTTCACACATATACAGAAAAGAAGTTTAGAATCTAACATGGTGTAAGAAAAGGACTATGAAATAGGAGAATTTTCCACTGATTGTATTCATCATTCAAAGGTCTATATGTACAAGTAAATTGCTATAAAGAAAATTGTAAAAAGAAAATCTATGTACACTTGTCCTATTCCTATTTATTGTGCTGTAACTATATAACAGAAATATTCCTTTACTATGTGCAAACATGTGCTAAGCACATGCTTAGGTCTTTCTAGAACAAATTTAATATACAGCTGCTTCTTCCATATCTGATGGCTGAGAGATGAAGATCGTTTATTTTCTTCAAGGGCTAAGATCGAGCCACGTAAGTGAGTGAAAATTTCGGACATAAGATTGTTTAACCTAGTTAACTCCGAAACACTTTACTCTTTGTTTTCCCAATCCCTTTCAGTCTTTCTTCTTCTTTCTTCTTCAACAGAGGGATTGGCTTCCTTCTTCATATAATGAAATCGATCCTCAACTTTGTGAGGTTTTTCTATTTCAACATCCCCCCTCAAGTTGGAGGGTAGAGAAAGTACCCCCAACTTGTTCATTATAGCCCGATGAGAAGCCCTAGATAAGGGTTTGGTGAAGAGATCGGCAAGCTGTTGAGTTGATGGTATAAATGAGAGAGTGATGATCCCAGATAGGAACTGTTGGCGAACAAAATGGCAGTCTAATTCGATGTGCTTGGTCCGTTCATAGAATACGGGATTGCGGGCTATGTGAATAGCCGCTTGACTATCGGAGTGAATGGGTACCGGTAAGGTCGCCGGTGTTGATAGGTCAGCAAGAAGGCGAACTAACCAGGTTATCTCAGCTGTGACACGCCTGATGGAATGATATTCTGCTTCGGCAGAGGAAAGAGATACAGAGACTTGCTTCTTGGATTTCCAAGAAATAGGAGCTCCACCAAGTGTGATAAAGAAACCACTCACAGATCTGCGAGAATCTCTACAAGCGGCCCAGTCGGCATCGCAAAAGGCTAGTAAATCAAACGAGGGATTTGCTGATACAAAAATCCCTTGAGACGGATCAGAGTGTAAATACCTCAAAACTCGCAGAGCTGCGAAGAAATGTGAAAGAGTAGGCTGCTGCATGTACTGACTGAGGCACAAAACAGCGAAGGACAGATCCGGTCTCGTGTTGGTGAGATAATTTAGCTTACCGACAAGATGACGATAAAGAGTTGGATCTTCCATTGGAGGACCAAGATCAGCATGAAGCTTGGCACAGGGATCAAGTGGAGAAGATACTGCTGCCCCTGTATAATCAAATTCTTTTAACAGATCCAAGGTAAATTGTCTCTGACTAATGATAAAGCCTTGTTTTTCCCTTAGAATTTCCATGCCTAGGAAATAGTATATGTCTCCTAGATGTTTGATTCTGAATTCTGTGCTGAGAAATTCAGTGATTTGAGAGAGTTCTGTGAGATCATCTCCTGTCAGAAGTATATCATCCACATAGACGGCAATAATAGATGATAATGCACCTGATTGTTTGTAGAACAAAGAATAATCATTCAAAGAACTCGAGTAACCTTTATAACTTAGTGCCCCTGCAAGCCTAGCATACCATTGTCGAGATGCTTGCTTTAAACCATAGAGTGATCTTCTCAAAAGACAAACTTGATTAGGTTTAGGGGGGGAAACACCTGCAGGAAATCTCATGTAGACTTCCTCCTGCAGTTCCCCATGCAGAAATGCATTATTGACATCCCGTTGTGAGACTTTCCACCCCTTTTTGACAACTACTGTCAACAAACATCGAATGGTGGTCATTTTAACCACAGGGGAGAAAGTCTCAGAGTAGTCTATCCCTTCTCTTTGTATGTCCCCCCCTGACCACTAGTCTTGCTTTCAATCTTTCTATAGTCCCATCAGAATTATGTTTCACCTTGTATACCCATTTACAAGGTAGAGCCCTCTTTCCTGGTGGCAAATCAACCACATCCCAAGTGTGGTTTAACTCAAGGGCTGCAATTTCTGCATCCATGGCCTGCTGCCATCCTGGGTGAGAAGAAGCTTGAGCAAAGCTTCTAGGTTCTGTGATAGTGGATAAAGAATAAAAGAGCTTTGATTAGGGAGAGATAAAGCTCCAAAAGAGTAAACAGTTGGCTGGGCAGGATGAGTGAAATAGGTAGATGTGAGGTCTGAGAGAATGATGGTGTTGCAAACATAATCCTGCAAGTAGGCTGGTTGTTTGCTGACCCTGTCAGATTTTCTGATTGGTGGAGGTGGAGTAGGAATTAATACAATAGGATTAGATCTGGGAGGAAAAGGAGAGACAGGACTAGGTGAAGGAGTGAGTGAAGGATCTTGAAGGTTTAGGTTAGGAACAGGGGCAGGAATATAATCAGGGGAGCAATTGCTTGGTGCATTTGGAGGAGGAATGATGTACGAAATAGGGCTGTTAGGTGTGAAGGAGGGACTAGAAGAAGGTGAGCCTTGATCTATGTGAGATGGTGTGGAAGCTGGTTGAGAGTGATCAAGTATGATAGGAGTAGAGGGAAAGTAAGGTGGAATAGAGGGGCTGGCAGAATGAGCAAAAGGAAACTGATCCTCATGGAATCTTACATCTCTAGATACAAAGACCTTTCTGCTTGCTAGATCCAATACCTTATATCCTTTTTGATGAGCAGCATATCCCAAGAAAACACAACTTGTTGTCCTGGGAGCAAATTTCCCTCTGTTGTGACTCAAAGTAGAGACATTACACAAGCACCCAAAAGATCTTATGTGCTCATAAGTAGGTGGCTTACCAAAGAAGGCCTCATAAGGTGTTTTTCCTTTCAAAATTCTGGATGGAAACCTATTGATCAAATAAGTAGAGGTTAAAATGCACACCCCAGTATGGTAGAGGAACATTAGACTGGAACTTCAAAGCTCTTGCAACCTCAAGAAGATGTCTATGTTTCCTTTCAACCACGCCATTTTGTTGTGGTGTGGCAACACAAGAAGTTTCATGTAGGATTCCCTGTTCAAGTAGAAAATTGGATTCTTGTGTGCCTTTTCCTAATTCCAGTGCATTATCTGATCTTATCTTCTTCACTTTCTTGTTAAACTGTCTTTCTACCAAAATCAGAAATGATTTCAATACTGAATATGCATTGCTCTTTGGACTTAACAAGAAAGTCCAAGTCCCTTTACTGTAGTCATCCACAATGGTTAAGAAGTACTTAAAACCATTATATGTTGTGTTTTTGAAAGGACCCCAAGTATCAACATGTATTAGATCAAAGTTACCATGTGTTTTTATTTGATTGATAGGGAAAGGAATCCTAGTTTGTCTTGCTTGAGGACAAACACTACAAACATAATCAAAATTTGAGGGAAAATGAATGAAACTAAACTTTTTCATTATTGGGAAAGGCAAATGCCCAAGCCTTACATGCCAATCCTTTACATTTGAAATAGCATTAGCATTTGAAATTGCTTCCTTTTGGAATTGAAACTACATGCGGACTAGATAGAAAACTAGACCCTATACTAGTTGGCTGGAGCAGGTACAAACCATCCCTTACTTCACCAAAAACTTGTCCCCTCCTCATTAAAGGGACCTGCATCAGACATGCACTAGAAGTGAGATTTAAAGAACAACTGAATTGAGCACATAACTTATGAACAGACAATAAGTTATATCTGAAAGAGGGAACATAAAGCAAACTCTGTTGAGTGTCATGTCAGGCTGTATGCAAACACTTCCAATATGTGTGACATGTAATTGAAATGAATTAGGTAAGCCAATATGTAAAGGGACAGGAAGAGGTGTTAAATTGAGGAAAGAATTTGAATCAAAGCACATATGCTCTGAAGCTCCAGAATTAATTATCCAAGTCTTAGTGTTAAAAACAGCGAGGCAGGTTCCAGAATACTTAAGTATAGTACCAGCAACTGCATTTGCATTGATTTTAGCTCCTGTATTTGCTGCTCCTCCAATCTGTACTTGCTTTATCAGATTCACTAGCTCTGAAACCTGTTCTTTGCTGAAGAGTTGATTCTGGATGTTCCCAGTTCTTTCATTTGGAGTAACTTCCATTTCTGCTCCTTCTTGGCTTCCCATCACTGCATTTCCTTTGATTGTGCCTTGATAATTCCCTGCTTTGGTAAACTGAAAATCTTCAGGAAACCCTATCAACCTGTAGCAGTCTGACCTAACATGCCCTGTCTTCATGCAGTGAGTACATATTGCATTAGGGTTGAATTTGGTCTTTCTTCCCTTGGATTTCTGCTGTTGATTCCCATATTTTTGTGTAGGATTCCAGCCTCTTGAACCATTGTTTCTTTGTGTTATCTTATTTTGTGTGTTTGCCATAAATGTTGCTCTATCTGTTGGGTAGTGAGGGCTGAGGTATACCTCCCTTTGACCTTCATCCTGTAGAAGTATTGAGTAGATATGATCTATGCTAGGGAGTGGGTTCATCATTAGTATGTGTCCTCTTGCCTGTGCATAGGAATCATTTAAACCCATGAGAATATGAATGATCCTTTGATCCTCCAAGAACTTTGCCACCTTCTTCTTCCCTTCACATGACAGTTGCAAGTACATTCCAAATAAGAGTTGAGAGAGTCCAGCTCATCCCACAACCTTTTGTGTGTTGTGAAATATCCTGCTATGCTGCTGTTTCCTTGTACTGACTTTGCAATTTCCTTTTGTAGGTGATAAAGTTTGGCACCATTTGATTGCCCAAACCTATGTTCAAGGCCGTCCCAAAGACTTTGAGCAGTCTTTGAGTAAATCACGTTGTCTCCTATCTCTTTGGAAAGTGAGTTTAGTAACCAAGAGGTTACCATATAATTTGTCCTACTCCATTGAGGGTGTTCCTTAGACGCCAGATCTGGTTCAACACAGGCACCATTGATGAACCCAATCTTATTCTTGGCTGACAAAGCAATCAATACTGACCTTCTCCAGCCTGGATAACCTCTTCCATCAAAAGGTGAGTTCACCAGAGTCATCCCAGGTGCATCAGATGAATGCAAAGAATAAGGGTGATTTGTGTATGTTGTGACTCCAGAACTGGACGAACCAGATAGAGGAAGAGTAGGTGAAAGAGTGGGTGAAGCTTCATCTCCTGCCATGGCTGAAAGCTGAATTGCAGGGAAGAAACAGAGAAGATGATTGGTGATTGATTATAGATGGATCGAGCTACTGTTGCTCTGATACCATGTAAGAAAAGGACCATGAAATAGGAGAATTTTCCACTGATTGTATTCATCACTCAAAGGTCTATATGTACAAGTAAATTGCTGTAAAGAAAATTGTACAAAGAAAATCTATGTACACTTGTCCTATTCCTATTTATTGTGCTGTAACTATATAACAGAAATATTCCTTTACTATGTCCACACATGTGCTAAGCACATGCTTAGGTCTTTCTAGAACAAATTTAATATACAGCTGCTTCTTCCATATCTGATGGCTGAGAGATGAAGATCGTTTATTTTCTTCAAGGGCTAAGATCGAGTCACGTAAGTGAGTGAAAATTTCGGACATAAGATTGTTTAACCTAGTTAACTCCGAAACACTTTACTCTTTGTTTTTCCAATCCCTTCCAGTCTTTCTTCTTCTTTCTTCTTCAACAGAGGGGTTGGCTTCCTTCTTCATATAATGAAATCGATCCTCAGCTTTGTGAGGCTTTTCTATTTCAACACATGGTGGTCTCCAAATAACTTGTCCATTTTAAGAGAGTGATTCAGATTAATCCTAATCCTCCGTGATATTTTCTCTTTTCTTTATTTACTCTTTCTTTCTAGGTGCAGAGTTAATTGGTATAAAAATCAGAAAAGAAAAAGAAAAAAAGTTAAAAGGAAACGAATGATTAAATGGAAGAACAATATTAGTTAGAATAGACGAAATTAATTGAAGAAGTTAGAATATGAGATGGGAAAAATGAGAGAACTAGTGTTGTTCTTTCCTCTTATTTTCTTTGTTGAATGGATAAAAGAGGGAAAGAACAATTAGAAAGGAAAGGGAAAGAAAAATTCTATCCGATGCAACAACTAAAATTTTTGAAAAGTGCTGTTGTCATCCCTCACCAACAAGGTAAAATCTAGCCATTTGCCACTGGCATTATGCTAGTATTTGTTACTTCGGTGGCAGTCTACATACATATATAAACATACTGTCTCGGTCGAAGCTTGTAGGTGGCGTGCCACCCTTTCGGGATCCGCCCATGCTTATAAGAGAATCTGCAGGCATACTCGGTACCTAATAGTTGTCATTATATTTGAGTATATAACAATGAAATTTCTACTTTATCTTATGCCGTTAGAGCCAAGTCAGTTCTGATTATATGCAATTACCTAATTAAAGCTAGCATTTAGTTACGTTTCAAATTTACCTTTTTAAAAATTCTTTACGCTGAGCCTTAGTTGACCATTCAACATTTGTTTGTTGTATTTTATCATCTTAGCTAAACCAATTCCAAATGTGCTAAGAAATCTATTACTCTAGTTGTAATATTCCCTTCGTCCCAATTTTATGTTATTGTTTCACTAGACAGTGAAATTTAGAAAATAACGAAAAACTTTTGAAATTTATGATCTAAAACGAATTATAAATATTTGCATAAGTATAGATTTCTCATGAAAGGTAAAATATGAATCTAAAAATTAAATTATTTTTAAAATAAAAAAATATTAATATCACATAAGTTACATCAATATTGTAGCCTTAAAACGTGATAGGCAAAATTGTTGTTTAATGGCAAATATCAGGATATGTAATTGTCGCATAGCTTCAGTCACATACCCGTAGTTAGCACTCCTCGTTGGATCTTTTCATTTTCTTCTAAGGACAAAACCTCAAGCATAGCCATGTAATTCCTCCTATAATAATCTCATACTTCAATCAACCAATTGGATAAACCTTATAAATTCCACCACCACAAAAATCTCAAAATCTCTCCCCACAAAATCCCCCATCAACAAAAAAGCAAAAATAAAAATAAAAATCTCCCCTCCAAAAACACTGTAAACCAAAATCACCACCATGACTGCTTCAAGTCCAGCTTCCTTTACATCATCAATTCTCAACATTCTCAATGCCAAAACCCCATCTTTCATTTTAAACCCTAACCCTTTTCCCCAAATCAAAGTCAAGAAATCAAGAAATCCTAAAAAAACAAATGGGTATTTCATTTCTAGGTCTGTAACAGTCGATAACCCCACCACTGTATCCTCTTCATCTGCATTGAACTTAGATGAGGGAGTTGATGAAAAATCCGCTGAAGCAATTGGGAAAGTTGGATCTAGGGTTAGGGTTACGGTTCCGTTGAAAGTGTATCACGTGCCTAAGGTTCCTGAATTGGATTTGGTAAATAGAATTGGAACGTTGAAACAATACGTGGGTTTTCATAAAGGCAAACAAATATCAGCTAATTTGCCTTACAAAGTGGAGTTCGTGGTGGACAATTTGGAAGGGCGAGATGGTCCGGTTAAGTTCTTGGCACATCTTAAGGAAGATGAGTTTGAGTTTCTTGACTGATTTAATTTCGGTTTTTGATTTGATAATTTTAGTGCTTTTTAAATGATTACTGTGTTCCACTGAATATATGAGAATAATCATATGTACAAGTATTATTTTCGTGTATCATTTTGTAGATCTAATTTTTTAAATAAAAAAGATGGTTATTTTGGCTCATTTCATTGGGTTGTCTTAAATTTGTTGTTACCACTATTAAAAAAGATAACATTAGCCGAGTTTCTATAGGAAACAACCTCTCTGCGTACACGCTACCTTCCCCGAACCCTACCTGTAAGAATATACTAGGTTTGTTGTTGTTGTACTATTAAAAGAGATAACATTGCTCCCGGTACTTGTGTTGGTGGGACGTAACAGGTACTCAGTGGAATAGTCGACGTGTGTGTAAGCTGGCCCTACACCATGTCTTTTAAAGAAAAAGATGACATTTTGTCAGCTCTGTTAAGAAAGATAAATGTGTGTTAGTCTAAGTAACAATTTGTGAAACAACAGTAGGATATAACCAATAATAGATTGTCTCGAGTTAATGTTTTGGTAGTCTACTCTTGCTTGGATGTTTCCGTCTAGTCCTTTTTCTCTTCTAATTGGTAGGTATTTGATTGTTGGAACGACCAGAAAAGTGTGAAACCCTTATGATCACTGGTTATTGAATCTCTAGACTTGATATTTAGCGTGTTTATGGTGGAAATATGAGCCCGTTTGGATTGGCTTATTTTAAGTGCTTTTAAGCCAAATTGGCTTTTAAGCCATTTTGTCATGTTTGGATAAACTAAAAAAGCGTTGTTAAGCTAAAATGACAAAAATAAGCCAAAAGCCAAAAGTTAGAATTCCTAACTTATGGCTTATGCTTAAAAGTCACTTAAAATAAGCCCATCCAAACGGGCTCTATATATCCTATTAAATGGATAACTTTAGTTACAGTGTTTATATGAAATGGTGACTTAAGCATGAAGTGTTGGAAGACTTGAAATGAGTGAGAGTTCCAAAATTGCTGGCAAAAATGTTATGTTTTGTCGTATGTGGGAAGCTTGATTTGGTAGCCATGGTTGTACTTGGAAAGACTTACTAGTAAAGTACTAATGTAACAAGTGGTAATCATCAGATGTGAAAGAGCCTCCATAGCAATTGTACTAGCAGGAAAAATGCTGCATTGCTCTCTTTGCTGAATGAATTGGAGCTTGAGGTTTTAGTCTAAGCTGAGGCATGTTATCTCTTTTGAGGAGAGCCAAGAGCATATGCACGTGTACTTTGATATGTAGATAAATATAAGAAAAGTTGAAGCAGAAAATAAAAACCAAGGAACAGACTTTAATTATTGATTACATATCGTATACTTGTAAAAAAATTATCGAACATAATATACTATGAAATTTCACACTGTAGGGTTTACTAGGGATCAATCAATAGAGTTTGGGAACTGGTACACATTCAGCACCTTCTTAGTGTTGTATTACAGCAGTAAGAGGATTACCTTATTAAAAAACACAGAATAGTTTTATGCAAATCAAGGCAAAGACAGGTGATGCTTGGCTCAGAGGTGTTGAATGATAAGTGCCACCAGTTAGGGATATGGCCAAGCAAAAGAAACAGAAAGTAAGCCTGAGGTGCAGAGGCATTTGCCTTTGTTGATGGCATGATTGGTATATGAAATTTCTTGCGTTTGTTTAAAAACTACACTTGCATAAACTAGATGATAGTCAATACTTTAACTTCTGTTGATCTTTTATGGCTTATACCATATCTCTGATCATTATTGTCAGTTTATACCATATTTTTCTGTACACACATATCAAATCATGCTCCATTGTATCGCCTACACTTTGGATTTGAGGGAATGCTGTTTGTTTTTACTTGCATATGCTTTTAGCAAATTAATAGATCTTCATTATACCTTAGCTTCTGCATTTTTCCGCTCTAGAAAGTTGCCAAATTCATGGAGCTTCTTCTCTGCTGTTGGGATCATGGTCTGATAATAAACAATCGACAAATGAAAAATTAATTGGTTCTCTTCGCTCTTTTCATAATGCCCAAACTGCGGAGGTTGAGGTTGGAGAGACAGAATTTTGAAGGTGTACAATCATCGTGACTTTAATATGATATTAATTGTTGTCCTTAGATAGTAGGATCATATATGTAAGATCAAAATAGCGGCACAGGGGATTGGAAATCTTTTTCCTGTAAGCTAAACTTTGCTCATAAGCTCGATAATTTCATATGCAAGCAACTTCTATCTCCAAAAGTTCATACTATAGCAGATACTAGGTCTGAATCTTTGTCGATAAGTTGAAGTATGGTAAAGTTACAATAAATTTGTCTTGAAGTAGCTGTTCATAATGTACTCTCGTTTTAGTTATTGTTAAGGTTGCTGCAAAAAAGCAAAGAATTGATATGTTGGCATAAACTGCTGAAGCTTTATATGTAGTTTATGATTATATGTTATTAAGGCATTCATACTTTTGCTATATGAGCTCTCATTGATATATAAGATCAGAATGTGAAAGAACCTGCCATCTCATTGTACCTACCAGTTTTTGATTTTTTACTTGGTAGTGTTTCATTGTATGCCCTACCTTTGTTCTTGGTGTCTTTTGAAATC